TCCGTTGGTCCCCCGGTCCCCATGCGCACATTACGCATGCGCGCAGTGACAGCCAGTTCTGCTGGGGTGAGGTCTGGACCGCCCTTGAATCTGGCTGTCTCTTGGAATCGATAGTCCGTACCGCGCAACGAGCTCTAGAAACAGTTCCGTGGAGCTGGAGCGACTCCGATACTTGCGCTTGAATTGTACCCGTGGCGTTTTCTTTTCGCAAGCAGGAACGCCGGCATCCAGGGAGTGGCACATTTCGTTTGAAGGGGTTGCCGTTGCCTTAGGCTCGCCGCAATGCACTCGATCACCATCGCGCAAGATGGCCCAGGAGCCGACGGCTCGGGAGTCGCTGGCCCGCTGAAGTTCGATGACATACAGGAATATATATGTACGCCACGGTCTACCTGCTGGAAGGTCGCTTTGGCAGGCCAGACTTCCTTGGATGCAATTATAAAGGCGTAAGGGCATTCCTTGAACTGGAGGGCGGAAAAGAAGTGGATGTGGTGGAAGCGTCAGAGGTTGAATGGCACAGGCGTCCCCATCTGTATCCTCAATGTATGGCAATCCGACTAGCAAATGCAGCAGGACAGTAGTGCGGGCAGTGCCCTGGAGAGTGCAAAAGCTCCCAACACCAATATTGCAAGTCGCTTGGTTAGGGCTGGCGTGCAGGTTGTGCTACCGATGGGCTTTTCCATCAGCATTGTGGCCGCAGGCATTCTGACGGAAGCAGTGTACAGGAGACTGTTTTACCCAGAAGCCAGTGGTGGAGGCCCGAGTTGGGGCGGCAGGAGTTGTGCAAGTGCAAGGGCCGCACACGCCCCACAACGTCACTGTTGATCTTGAAGACTGGCTGTTGCTGATTGTTTATATCGGCCAATTGGCATCAGGCCTGGTACTGCGAGATTTTGATGGCCCAGCTGAAATTGATTCAGACACCAAGACTGTAGGTTAAAGATTTGCCACACCCACAAATGGATTTGTTGGTCGGGATTTGGAGACCTTGAAGATGGAGAAGGCGCTAATGGGCCACAATGTCCTGATTGTGCAAGGCATGGGCGGAGCTGAGAAAACGTCGCTGTTGTTTGATTTGTGCAGTTGGATGCAGACGACCAGTGCTCAGTCTGTGCTCAGTTTTGCTCAGTCTGTGTTTTATTGTGGCTACGATGAGCGGCCATGGACTCTGCAGCAAATCTTGTTTGGAATTGGACAACAAAGTTTCAGGGATGTTGAGCTGCAGCAATTTCAATCCAAGACTCTACAGATGCAGGCACACGAGCTGGCTGTGCAACTGAGGGACAGCGACTCTGTGTTGATATTGGACAAACAGGAGTCTGTGAATGGCCATGAGTTGGCCTGCAGAACTCACTGCCAGTGGAGGAGCGCAAAAAGATCCATGATTTTGTGATGAAGCTGGTTGGAAGCGGGACCAACGAGGTGCTGGGATCTCGCTGCGCAGAAGACTGGCTGGGGGACGCATTCCGCCACAGTTACAAACCATTTGTCACGTCTAGATCCAGAGGCGCGATCAGTGTTGGCACATCGAATTCTCAGCCACGTTGGCAATGAGTATCGAATTGCAGAGTTGATCAGAAATGACAAGTACCAGCAGCTTATTGACACCCACTGGTTATGGAGGTTGTGCTAGCCAACCTGAACAACGAACTCCAGTGCAGATTGTAGTGGGTCTGCAGGTGGCTGACATTTGTTTGGATGTGCAGTCTGACGACAAGACCCAGAGCGTCCTGAGTTGCGTGGAGTCTTCGTACAAGATCATGCTGCCCCAGAGTGGAGGGGCATTGGCGTAAATGGCAGTTGCCGCTTACCAGAATTGGAACAATGAGATGGAACTGGGGCAGGTTGTTGCATACAACTGTTTGGGAAACTTGTATTACAAGCTTGGTGATTTCAAGAATGCAAGAGAGGCGTACCAAAGAAATTTGGTGACGTGGGAATCCCTCAGTGATGGTCATGGAGGAGCAAAAATCTTGTGGAATGGTCGAATCTACTGGTTTTGGCAGTGTGGCTTTGACATTGAGGGAATTAGAGGAGGCACGTCAGGATTTTCAACAAGCACTGGATGTCAGAATCGATATTGGCGGTTTTATGCTCAAGCATTCACCCACCAACAGTTGGGCAGTGTGGCTTTGAATTTGAGGGAATTCAAAGAGACACGCCAGAATTTCCGACGAGTGCTGGACGTCAATATCTTATTTCGCGACCGTCCTGGTCAAGCACGTGTCTAACACCAGCTGGGCACTGTGGCCTGGGTGTTGAGGGAATCAAGGAGGCGTACCAGAACTCTCAACGAGCACTGGACATCTATATTAACTAATAGTTAAGATATATTAACTAATAGTTGACATAGTATGTCAATAGCCGTTCTCAAGCAACTACCCACCACCAGTTGGGCAGTGTGGCCACAGAGTTGAGGGAATTCGAAGAGGGGTGCCAGAATCTCCAACAATTGCTGGACACCAAATCGAGTCCTGCGATCGCCATGCTCATGCATCCATTTACAACCAACAGGGCACTGTGGCGTTGAGGTTGAGGAAATTGGAGGAGGCACGCCAGAATTTCCAAGAAGCACTCGACATCAGAATCAACACTGGGGATCGTCATGCTCAAGAAAGCACCTACCACCAATTGGGCAACGTAATCTTGGAGTTGATGGAATACGAGGAGGCTTGCCGGAATTTCCAACGAGCGCTACATACATGTGGCGACATTGGCGATCGTTATGCGTAAGCAAGGGCGTACCACCAATTGGGGGTATTGGCTGCCCAAACTGGAAAATTGGAGGATGCACTTCAGAATTTCCAACAAGCCTTGAATATGAAAGCCGAATTTCTTGACGCACATTCTGAAAGATTCACCCGGTGGCAGTTAGAAAAAGTTGCAGCACTCTTGAATTCCACGTTACTGGCTGGGATTGAGGAGCCTTAAGGGAAGACACTGTGTCGATTTTGTTACGCTTAGCGTCAATTTGACGCTGAGAGGCGTGAGGGGGTTGGAGGGAGAGGTGGTGGGTGGTGGGGGGTGCCCAGACCTGTGACGCTGAGATTATGTAATTGGAACAAAATCTACATAAGGTGGAAGGATGACTGAAAACGCTGCTGATCAGCCGCAAAACACTCGCGACCTGTTCCTAAACCTCCCTGAAATGTTCAGTCTTCAAGGGAGTATTTAGAATGTGCCAATTTACAGCATCGAGGTTGCCCACCCGTGCCGATAATGACAATTATAGTCCCATTTTTAGCCAACCAAAATTTGTACGACTCTGGGCGCTTTTTCTTCTCATTGAAACATTGTATTCCACTGTTAGGTAATGTTTCTGAGTCACCCTAGCTTGCACAGAAGGATTGACGCTGTGGGTGGGTGGGGGGGGGAAGAGGCCGAGGGGCGGGGCGTGAGCTTAACGTCAACAAAATCGACACAGCGCCTTCCCTTAATCAGGCTGGCAACTTGCCAGTGGCAAGCAGTTCTACGTAAGTGTTGTCACATGCTTCGAGCCTCAGCTGGGACATTTTCAACTGCTATGCTGGCCGAGTGTGTTCCAAATTGTTTGGGATCACTATAATGTGTGGATCACACTTTGTGTTACTTTTTCTTCCTGAATTGTCGACATGTCTCGGGCGCTCGCGGGGACGGCTTGATGGCTGTCATGCAGACCATGCGCACCCAGCTGGGAGAGCTGGGACATGTGACCCTGCAGGGCGGCGGAGACGGCGGCGGGAAGGAGTCAGGGGCGGAACATAATATGAAGAGGCTTCGTCAATGCAAGAACGAAACGGGTCACACAGCAGCAGAATCACTTGAGCAGGAGATGGTGACCAGCCTTGGTTTCCATTGCATAACCAGTTCTTCTTCTGAGAGTCATATCCATGTCCATGTCGGCGCCACGGATAGCAGAGCACTGGTGCATATGTGCACAATCTGCCGGCCAAAAGTGTGGACACTTACAGATTTTCCAAAAGAAAAGAACGGAAAGAAATCGACCCATACAACTGCTGTAAAAGTAAACCCAGAAAGTCCAATTGCTGAACGACCTGCCAATGTGTTTCTTGATGGTCTTGTTGGCCCCTTCAGCTCAAGCGGTGAAGTGCGAGAATTCCCCTCGTGGTTCCCCTTCCTCACCTTTTTCAAGCTCGTCAATGTATTACACACTTTCCAGCAATTGCCACAAACTTCCGTGAACATTCGCATTGAAGCATCTGCCAAAAGCAGAAGCCGAGCATACTCCAATCCACATCAGGGGTCAGAGTTCAGATCTGTCTCTGTCGGTATCTTTTCTCTTCTTCCACAAGAGCAACGTTCGTCTCAAGCATCCAGAGGTTGTCACACATGCTTCCAAATAAAGCAACGAAGATCAGTTCGGATAGTATCCTCAAAGTGCAGCGGCAAAGCTCGACTTGCGATTACAGATCCTATTGACCGTGTGTTGCCATTTAACTGCCGTTTCTCTTGCCGCGTTGCCCCTGGATGGGGAACCTCGGGACTTGGGTTCAGTTCATGTGTTCCCTCACAGGATTTAAAGCCATTCGTTCACCACGCAATCGGCGATTTTGGAACTTTCACGGCGCCGCGTGTCAAATGACATACATCCCAAAGTGTCAAATGATCCGCAATCCCTCCGCCACAACCCGGCCGTACATCTCATACTTGGGATTTACCCGCAAACTTTCTCAACAAAGCTGCGCACCAATGTTCACACCCATATCCTCCGTTACGACGCGGCCGCACGTCACCTAATTGCCAATCAAATACCGGTAAATTTTCTCAAGCCGCATCTCAATGCCCACACCTATCCAACACCCCCATTTCATCCTTGATCCGCTCGATCCAGTATACATGATCCACACGCTCCCTCCACACTGATCGAAAACCCCTCGTCCCACCCATCCCCAACATGTTGTGTCCGACTTATTTTGACTCGGGGCTCCCACCAAATCTCCTTGAAGATGGAGGAAAAGCGGGGTTGCGCCTCCTTATTCTGTCTTGCAACAATCTCACAGCTACATGTTGTCGTGGAACGTCCTGGCGATGACCTCCATCTGCTGCTCCCGCGTGAGCTTGTGAAAGTGCACCGCATAGCCCGACACGCGGATAGTCAGATTGGGATACTTCTCAGGGTGCTCCACGGCGTCCATGAGGGTCTCCCTGTTGAGGACGTTGACGTTGATGTGGTGGCCGCCGGAGGCGAAGTAGCCGTCCAGCAGCGCGCTCAGGTTGGAGGCCCGCGTGCCGCCATCCTTTCCCAGCACGCTGGGCACCAGGCTGAAGGTGTTGGACACGCCGTCCAGGCAGCTGGTGTACGGCAGGGAGGCCACCGAGTTGAGGGCGGCAATGGCGCCTGCGAGGAAATTTAACGCCTATTAGTCACGCGATCAATCACTTTTTACTGCCGTGTGTGGAACGAAGACGTGTGGTATGAGCAACAAGCTAGCTGAATTGATCTACCGACCAGAAACTGACCATCACTACAGATGCAAATGACTGAAATTGTGCGCAAAGATTTCACCACTGGGGCTGGCTTTTATCGTCATTATCCATCTTACATTCATTCGTTGTACACAGCAAGGCAATCTACATTAAAAGGGGCTGAGTTTCAGTCCGAGGCCCACCTGAGGCGTCCCTTCCGTGCATGGGATTGGCACCCGGCGCAAAGGCCTCCCCCTTCTTTCGCCCATCGGGTGTGGTCCCCGTCTTCTTGCCGTACACGATGTTGCTGGTGATGGTGAGGATAGAGAGCGTGGGGACGCTGCCGCGGTACGTCGTCTGCTTGGACAGCTTGCCGTGGAACGTCTTCACCACCCACTGGGCGATCGAGTCCACTCTCGGGTCGTCGTTACCGTATTTCGGAAACTCGCCCTGGACGTCGAAGTCGACGGTCATGCCGTTCTCGTCGCGCTTGGGGAACACCTGGAAAACACCAACTCTATCTGAATACCAAGAATTACAAAGCGCAAAGGCTTACACCATTTTCCAGTGGAAGGCTTTCAGCCGACAACGAGCGCATACTTCCGTGTCCGGCGTCGCCTGTAAGATGCCACAATTTTAAATAACTAATTTTAAATAATTAATTTTAAATAATTACGTTGCGGCGTGGAGATGCCCGCCGCTGTGAGAAGGCAGGGCGCCTCGCGTTGAATCAACAGCCGGCAATCCTGTTGCTCTAAGCGTGCAGCAATGTCGGCGGCCTCCCAGCGCGACGCCCATTCAGCCGTCGCCACAGTCGCATATTCAAGGGACACGCGCCAAATTCAGCACTCAGCCATTGCTGCGGGTTGAATTTCAAAACCACGAACAACACATCGCTGCGCAGCACACATTCTGCGCGCAATATTGCACCTCCAGTAATTTGAACATAAAGACGGCGCCTCAGTTCTGCCAGCAACGAAGGTTCGTGTCTGTTTGGTGTGTTTTCGGTGGTTTTGTGTTCTTTTGGTGCTTTTTTGGAGGCATTTTTTGGTGTTTTTTGTGCTTGTTCGTGTCGTTTGGTGTTGCGTGTTTCTTTCGTGTTTTCGCGTGTTCCATTCGTGCTTTCGAGCGCCTGAACCCAAAGGACCCACCTTTGCATGCTTGATGGCGGAGAGGGAGTCCGTGATGACCGACAGGCCCGCCACGCCGAACGCCAGCAGCCTGCGCACCTCAGTGTCGTGCATCGCCATCATGACGCTCTCGTAGTTATACCTGTCGTGGATGCAGTGGATGACGTTCATGGTGTTCGCGTACAGCTCCGCCAGCCAGTCCATGGCCCCATCCAGAGCCGCCATCACGCCGCCGTATTCCAGGGCGCCGTCGGCGTCGAGCGGCGGGGCGGCGAACTTAGGGCCAACCTGGCGGAAACAGAAATTGAGTCATTGCCTGGATCAGGCCGCAATATTAGAATATCCTCCAGCACTTCTTCGCGTGGTTCATTCCTTATGGCTGGCGTCAGCTCGCATCCGCCAGAGAAGGTTTCAAATCCAAGACAAAGATGGGAAATGTGCTTCATTCATCAATTTAGATTTCCATATCGGTGCAGCTCCTCAGTGGACCAGCCGCACCACTGTGCATCCCTTCGGAGACGATTCCGCGATCTTGTTGGCACCCGTCGAACAGATGATGCAATTTCGCGCGAACTCGCCCGTACGGGCGCCATACACTCTTCAAAGATGCTGAAATTTGAAAAGACTGTTCAAATCTCAACAACGCTCCCTACGCGACTCCTTTTCGACACTCCCCCAGCAAGTTTTTCCGCATAGCGCGGACACCCATTCCAAACCCTCCATAAATCGTGCGGCGCCAGCAACGCCCCACCTGCGCCCCGGTGATCTCGTCGCGCCCCCCATTCATGCAGTACAGGAGAAGCTTCGGGAGGTTGCACCTGGCCCCGAAGTACTGCATGTCCCGCCCCAGCCGCATGGCCGACACGCAGCACGCGATGCCGTAGTCGCTGCCGAACAGCGGCCGCATGAGGCGGTCGTTCTCGTATTGGATGCTGGACGTGTCGATGGATACCCGGGCGCAGTACTCCTTGAAGGGCGTGGGCAGGTTCTCGTCCCACAGCACCGTTATGTTGGGCTCGGGCCCGTGGCCTGCGCGCAGCGTTATCGCGGATTAGCGCTGGTGGCGGTTTGCATTAATTGCTTTACACTGAATGGTATGCAAATGATATAGTCATGCGGTTGAGCGGCGGTTCAGCCCGTTCAACTTGAAACACGGCTCAAGATGCCAATATACAATTTAGCGACAATATCGAGATATTGGGTTTTCAGCAATTTAACTATGTACACGCAGTGACAGAGATTGTGTGAAATGAGCATTTCCGCCTTCTGTTTGCTCTGAATTTTCTGATGCTTGGTTACTCACACATATTTGGCTGGCACAGTATCTCCCCTGAAGCAATGCGTTCGCTGGGATCTGTCTTTGGAAATCGTTAAAAGTTGCACAGTTCGCGTTATTATTGATCCACTGTAACACTTTGGCCGTTTCTGATGAACGATTCTCTTCAATGTAGCAACGCATGGGGATGGACAGCATCTGTGCGAGTTTGACATGTTTACAGTACTTTGGCAGACCTGGTGGACGCACGTGCACCTCGTTCAGGAGGTTTCTGTCTTTGACGGTGCCTTATACGGAACGAAGCCGCACGTGAATGTGGGAGAGATGTTTTGAGAGGTGAGGCAGCTTCTTCTCAATTTCCACTCCACCGATTATATCATTCCGACTCGCATGCAATGTAACGACGGCCACAGTCAGCTCATCGCTCCAGGAATCATCGCCCATGGCTCTCATACAAACGCGAAATCATCGCAATTAGATGTCATTTGTGACAGCCGGTCCAAACCCCAGCTTCTCGTTTTTTTTTCTTTTTTTTTCCGCATCTGTCAAACCATGCGGTGTCAATGTCTCAGCGCAACTTTCAGAGCTAAGCACCTGCACAAACGTCAGTGCGACCTTCAGCATAATTATCAGTTCAGTTTTCGGCACAAATTTCAGTGCGACGCCTTCGAGGACACGGCACCGAAGCCGTGGGTGCACAGCGTTTTCACCCTAAACAAATCTATCACACGATAAAAAATAGTGAGATTATTAATCACAAATATCATATGGTGAAAAACAACGATATGACCCTCCCCCCTTACCCAGATTGCTGAGGGTGCGCAGGATCCGGAAGCTCGTCTTGGTGACCATCGGCCGCCCCCTGCTGTCCACGCCGCCCAGCGCTGCCGTCACCCAAGTGGGGTCCCCCGCGAACAGCTGGTTGTACTCCGGCGTCCTCAGGTGCTTCACCAGGCGCAGCTTCATCACGAAGTGGTCAACCAGCTCCTGCGCCTGGGCCTCGGTGAGGGCGCCTCGCCGTAGGTCCTCGTTGATGAAGACGTCAAAGAAGGCGTCCACGCGGCCCAGGCTCATGGCGGCGCCGTCGGACTCCTTGACGGCGGCCAGGTACCCGAAGTAGGTCCACTGGACGGCCTCCCGGGCGTTGGCGGCCGGGCGGCTGACGTCGAAGCCGTAGGAGGACGCCATCTCCTTCAGCTCCTGGAGGCGTCGGTCGCGAATTTAGAAAACTGCCAAGCTTTCAAGTTGAAAACTGTGGACAATGACGGTGGCCAAATTTGACAACTGCTAGTGTTTCGATTGGCAGCTGTGCGTGTCAAAAGATCGGCATGAGCAAGGTGCACAGATACGGGGCATGGGTGGCCGGATGTTGATGGGTAGTTGTGCACTTCGCAGATTGATGCTTGGGTGCAGATTGTGCAATGTTGGAGGCCGTTCAGCTCTCTTGGCACGCGGAGGCAGTGATGGGCAATGCAGGTGCCAGATCTGGTTGATTGTGTAATACCGTGAGCGCGAGATCCAAAAGGATGTGGTGCAATCCGCACTCACAAGCTGCCTTCAGTTGAGGCCAAATCGTATCGCTTCAGCGGGCTCCAGAAAACACAATGTTCCTGAAGTCACAGTTCAGGGTTGGTTGGCATCAAAGTGCCCAGAGCCCCATTGAGGCTTTTCTTTGTGGCCGACACAGGTGAGCTCCAAGAACGGAGTGAGCAAGGAGCGAAGTACCTTCAAAGCCTGGATCTGGTCCTGCACATCCCCCCTCAGCCGAATTGCATCTTCTGTCATGGTGCCATTGATGTTCATCAAGTCTTCTTCCTTGGACTCGATCAAGCGGTCCGCCCCAAACAGTGCCAGCCGCCTATAGTCACCAATGATCCTCCCACGACCGTACCCATCTGGCAGACCTGTGAGGATGCCATTTTTGCGTGCCACTCGCATCTCCGGAGTGTACACTTGGAAGATGCCATCGCTCTGAGTCTTGCGCACCTGAGCGAATCGCACGAGCCACTTTCGATGCCCCAACCCACATGAAAATTGAAGAACTCTTGTAATATGAAAAAGATTGTTTGGCCAAAATTGATTTGAGCACTGCACAAACCCAAACATGACAATAGACCATAAGAACAGGCACATGTGCAGACCATTGCTTCGATGGTGCCAGCGGGGTGAGTTGCGCAGTGGCCAAACAATCCTCGTTAGTATGGAAGCTTGTGTGCAAACACGGTTTCCTTAACTGGGCAATATATCTATCTTTGCAAGCAATCTTCACTGCTGCAGAACTGAGCCACTTGGCAAAGCTCCTAAGTGATTCACTGTGAGGAACTTTGGTAGTAGTTTGAACTGGCATGCCACAAATCTCCTTCTCAAGTCCAGTCACGTTTTCAAATGCGTGGCTGTCTTCACACTCTGAATACAATGTTTGAATGCATGCCACAAAATGAATTGCAAGAACAAAAGTTGTACACCTTTTCCTCTCAGTGTTGCATCAGGCTTGGGACTGCTTGACCATTAACTTTTCAGTGCTTCGAAGCTCCCACCTTGCTGAACAAGCGCTCCACATCCTCATCGGCCTCGTAACCATATGCCTCCAGCGCCTTCCTCACAACCCGCGTTCCTCCAAGCGGCTTGATGGACCTCTTCAGTGGCTTGTCAGTTTGCAGTCCCACGATAGCTTCGAGATCCTTCTCGATGTAGCCTGCAGACGCCACAAACTCCTCTTGAGCATTAATTTTGGTTGTGTCAACCGTTTTGCACTCAACACAAGAATGACCGCCATGCGCATGTCCTCCTGTCTCAATAACCAGGGTCCAAGAGCTTGCCTTGCACAGGCAAATGTCAGGGCTGGGCACGATCTCCATAGCCGTTGTCATTGGCTCTGCAATATTCCCAAAGAAATCTACACAGTTCTGCAGGCCTTGGAGCCGTGAGCCGATGCCAGCTTTGCTGATCCACAATGTGCATGCGGCATGCACACAACCATCAAGTGCGCACAGCATTCAGGAGTATCTTGTGGAGAATCTACTGTCTTCCTTCGTCAATTCGTGCCAAACATGTTTGCACACCAATGCTGTGGCTATGGAGAACAGTGCTCGCATCCCCAAAATCTGTTCCACAACATTTTCGCTACCAAAATCCAGGGCGCCTGCGTTTCCAGAGAAGAGCAGACGTGGAAGGTGTGGTGTCGACATCCGCACCTGGAGGGAATGATGTGATGGTCGAGGGCAAAGAGGGATCGACATCGAGTACTCCGCCCCGCTCCACTTCTTCCTTCTGCAGCTGGACGACCCGATCTGTGAGTTGTTGTGTCCTGAAGGCACACATCCTTTAAGCCTTTATTCTGATGAGAGTTTTTGAGGCTCTTTTTATCTATCTCTTTTGACATGTTTGTCAGAACTCACTTGTCTACCATTAATTCCGCAGGTGGAATCAAAAGCATACAAAAAATGCATGTGCCAGGGGAGCCCACTGTCCACGACCGAAAAACACGCAAAGCAGCACATACACCGCACATACAGCATCGAATTTTGGTCTTGATGGCAGACATACACTCCATATGCTTGCCAAATAGAGGTATGTGTGGCATCCTACATTGAAGCCGCGCTGTTCCTATCCCATTCGACATCTGCACTCTGGAATGTTCAGCAACAAGGCAATTCCCAAGGGCGTGTTGTGGCAAAAATTTCCAGAAGCATGCTTGGTGATGCACCTTTCTGTGGGACCCTCCAAGAAGTCTTCGCTTCCTGAATACGGGGTGTAGTTCTTCTCTATCCACTGCTGAACGGCATCTCCCGACGGGGATGAGGGCGTGTACAAACCCAGGGGCCAGGTGTCTTCAGTGGATGGCTCTGAAAGCACCTGAAATGCAGATGGTGTGGTTTGTCCCAGCCTCCCCTGGCCTGCACCTGCACGTGCTGCAAATGGAATGGAATCTTAGCTCAAAGCAGGAAATTTGTCGCACCAGGACCGGCCCCCATTCCTAGGGAAAACACTGTGCCATTTTTTCCATGCCGTTCAGCATCACGCTGATCTCAATTCCGGTGCTCATACTGCTGTCCGACGTGATGGAAATGATATCGTGCACGCTGAAAATTGCAAACGAACAAATACCTTCGATGGTACCAAAATGCTTTCTGCGTGTGAATATGATCTGAAGTCAAAGCATCATGTGCGTTCCCTTGGATTACAAGTGCTTGTTCTCATCAACAGCGATGTCCAGAGTACAGACTCGCGACCGATGAACATGCTCAAAGCGGCAACTGCGATTCCTGCACCACTTTCAGCAGCACCCGCCCATCGATGCCAGGTATGAATAACCCAGTTGCAAAATGTCGTTACTGGAAAGTGTCAGTTCAGGAGCGCGTCTTCAGCTAACCAGAAGCGAGTGTTTTCCCTGCAGAAAACGTGATCGGCAGTGACCTTCATCAGAGTGGCTACAAGGCAATGGCATTGACAATACATTCCAGTCTTCTTTTCAATTCTTTTTAACTTTTTTTTTGGGGGGGGGAGTGAGAAAAACTCTGTGGACCGAGAGGACGAGCTTCTGATCGTCGAGCGCCCATCAAGTTACAGAGCGCGACGCCAGCGCCACACACTCATGGCACACTCACAATATTGCCTGCTTTGTCGAAAATTGCATTCGCATCGACGTTGCAAGCATTCTTCAGAAACCTGTAGAGCGCCTTTCATGGCGCAATGGTTTGGGTATAGGGGTCACAAGCCGCCGCGCTGATTGACCGTTTCCTCGGTAGTCCTCACTCCGCACTCTCAGCAACCAGCGTCCAACCATCTCGCAGTCAGTTCGCGTCGACGTGCACCCCAATCCCCAAACTCATGCGCTGACAATACGGGGCGCCAATAAAAACGGGGATTTCAGCCCAGAAACGGGGATTTCCCAGAGGTACTGCGGATATTGGGAATACTGGGGAAACTGGATATCCCAATGGTCCTGGGGATACTGCGGACCCCGGCAAGGTACTGGACCATCGTCATGGAATCCCGGTAAGTCATCCGCCACGTCAGTCCGACAACGCACCTTGCCGCGCCGGCAAACTCTTCGGCGCGCCGGCACGGCCCACGGGACACTCCCCCGCCGGCGCCCCTCGCAGCGGAACCACGGGCGCCGGCTGGGTCCACAGGGCCTGCCGCTGGCAGCGCGCGGCGCGCAGCCCCATGCCTTGTCCAGCGGTGCCGGCGCTGTGCCTCCTGGACGCTCCTGCAGACAATTAATTGCATCTTCACGGCTTGGCCGTCGGAGTCCCCGCTCGCAATCGGGCCGGGATTCGATCGGAAGGCCCGGCATCGAGCTCAATGAACGTGAAATGGGATGAGCGGTGTTGGAGAGCTGCAGGGGTGTGTGCTTGGGAGATCTACCAGGCGTCTGCCGGGTGGGACCGGTGATGGGCGCCGGACCACGGATCGGAGTTCGAAGGAACGGATCTGGCGGACGGGACGGAAACGCGAGCAGAGGCGATTGAAACGGCAGGGGAGCGGCCGGGGGGGCGGGGGGGGGCCGGATTCGGCAGCCTGGCATGCCGCAAGCGCGCAATCTCCTCCCGACGGGCATCGCATCTGAAGTGACCCGGGACGCGTGAGGTGGAGAGACAAGCGAGGGATCATCGAGGGATGCAAGTTGGCCGCGGACGCAGAGCTGCCGACGGCGAGACGGGCAGCGCACCTTGAATTCGATTCTCAAGCCGCGGGCGAGCGTCAAGCAGAAACGCGTGTTGTGTTGTGTCGTGGGTGGCCCCCTTTCGGCGAGGCAAGCAGTCGCCTTGACTCTTGGCATCGGGGTGCACACCGCCCATCTATAAGTGCACGCGGCTGCCGTCCGCGTCAGCGAATCAAACACACACGCTCTCTACACGAAAGTACCAAAGATGGCTCCAGAACGTGCGGTAATCGTCACGTAGAGGACACCCCACCCGAGCTATTTGTGCTGGCCTGTGGCACGGCTCGGCCAGCAAAAGTCATTCGCTGAACACGCCAACGAGCGACACACCGAGATTTCAGCTTCAAATCCAAACGGCGTCCAGCCTCTGCTGCAGGGAATCGGCGGTGGGAGGGCCCATGAAGGGCCTGCCGGTCGCGGCCGGCGGCTCGAGCGTTCGGGGGCAGCGGGTGGGCGGCGCCCTCCCTTTGGCTTCCTGGCGAACAGGTACGATGTTTCTTCCTGATGCTCGTCCAAAATTGCGTCAGCATGCTGCGCGGGGGCGCTTCCCTCCTGTCGGAATCATCCCCTTGACACCGATCCCGTTTGTTTCCGAGTCGGCTGCGCGCCTGGCGGCAAGGACGGTGGGAAAATGACCCCGGCGGTTGCGAATGCCGCTTCCGATGGGATCTTTGAGAATCCGAGATCCTTGGCGCTGCACGCGCCTGGGCGACCGGAGTCAAGAACCTGAACGGCTCGCGGGAGCCTTCGCGCAAGTCAAGGAGCCCCAGCTCGCTGTTGCGGCGCCTGCAAGGGTCCGATCGCGCTGTATTCCGGCGCGGATCCCCAATCCTACAGCACTGGACCATGCGCTCGTGCGGCCCTGCCTGTGGCCGTAGAGCCTCACCGGGCCCCCGCTCGCCCACGGTAGGGGCTGCCCAGCCGGGGCACGGTCGGGAGGAGGGGGCAGAAGGCCGTGAGCAGGTGGACGGGCCCGTCGGTGCGAAGTGTGGGGAGACAGAATATACCAGCCCCTCTGTGTTTTCCGAGTGGATCCCTTCTTCTTCCGCTGACAAGGCAAACGCCGGTCAATGGGGAACTAATATTACTCCCTGCACCAAATGGGTGACTGCTTGCACTACTAAGTCACGTGCACACTTGATCCTCACCTCAGCCCCAGGATTAGTTTTAGGTTTAGATTGAGTTAAAGGTTAGGTTTAGGTTTAGTTTAGGTTTAGGTTTTAGGGGTTAGGGTTTAGGGTAGGTTAGTTTTGGAGGGATTCGGTGCAAGCAGTCACCGATTTGGTGCAGTCAGTAGTCTTATGCCATCAGTGGGTCAGTGGTCGTAGGGTTTAGGTTGCCTGGAAACAAGATGGGATCTACATGACAAAAGACAGGGCGACTGCCCTCACGCCTATGGGAAGAGGGGAATCGGCGGCCGATGGGTTGTGTGCGTGGCTTGACATGGCGTCGCTGTCACCCTGAAGCAACATCGGCGCGGGTTCAATCGTCGCGATGCCCTTCCCACAGGGTGCAATGCTCTTTTTGGCTTTTGGAAGACTCCAACTGCAGGGCGTTTCGCTGTTGATGACGTAATCAGTGCGCCTGTTGGCCAATTGACCGTCTGCAGCGCTCGGACAATGCAAGGGCGTTGGCCAGCAGAGTGTCAGCCGCAATTCGCACGGGCATCCAATTTTTTGTGCGCCATTTTGCTGAGAATCGTGAGCTCGTTAGGAGTCACTGTGTCTTCCGAAGGAATAGTTGATTTTGAAGATTTGGCACCATTTCGGCACATGGTACATCATTTCACGACTTAAGCAGTACATAACAAAGTTTGTTAAGAATGGATGTATTCCAGTCTTTAAGAATGGAAAACAAATAAAATGAACGGCACACCTACGTCGTGGATGGAACAGATCTGTGAACAGAACGCTTATTGTGCCAGTGCACTCCTCTTTGCCGTCCTTGCTACTCTGCCATTTTCTCTGCAGGCGTGAGGCACCATGCGGCAGGAGATTTATCTCAAACCAAAATCCGGGCATCACTGTACTGTCTGTGCCAGACATTGGAATCATTGCATAAGTTGGTTGACTAAAACATTCCCCGTTTAACATTCCATGTTCGCTCTGCAGTTCCTCGGCACCCCCTGCCATGTGGTTCGCAACTGCCTTCACACAGACCAGTGGGCGCAAGGGCCACATGCAGCGATTTGGATGCATTGTCAGCGCCATTGCACGCTGACGATGGGAAGAACATCATGGCAGAAGAACACTTGCCAGAGCAAGTTGCAGAGGACCCGGCCTCCGATGTGCCAGAGACCATGGGGTGCATACATTCAACAGAGTCCATGTCGGCGGTTGATGGGCCCGGACTGCGGTTCATGGTCTTCCTGCAGGGCTGCATCGCCAGATGCCAATTCTGCTCAAACCCGGACACATGGGAGTTTCATGCTGGTAAGTCGCCACTGAATTCGGCTCTTCTGCACACTGCCCTTGTGTAATGGTTGCATGCTTGATTGGCCCATTGATGGGTAGATTGATTGGCACGGCGGTTGGTTGGTTGGTTGACTGAATGGTTGGTTGCGAGATGGTTCAACCGTCAACATGTGTGCACTGGATTGATCAGCTCCACAATGCTTTACACACCAGGCATTGTAATATACTGTGATATGATGCAATCGACATCGCTGTGCTTGTGATCGTGGACTAGCAGCTGAGCATGCTGCCCTTACATGCCCCTTCTCCTCACGAATCTATATTGATAGTGTACTGTTTTATGATGTCTGTTCGCGTTTCCATGAAAATGTATTTTACATCGTCTATTTTTTTGTTCCTGGAGCACAGTGTTAACGAGTTTAAGTCTAGTTTTAAATGGAAAATATGACATTGATGGAGCAGCGTGAAGTAACATTACAGGATGCAGAATAGGCTCACCAGCGCCTCAGACATGGCTACGCGCTGAACAGATAGGTTCAGTACACAGCAGCGAACCCCGATCACCATTCCCATTTCACCCCACGCCACCTCGATTCCCACCCCCCCATTTCACACCCCTCGCATCCTCTCGCGACGTCTCACAACGCCTTCACACTGGGACCCCACCCTCAGCCAACCACATTCTACTCACCCCGTGAAACGACTTGCCTTGTCGTGTTGTATTACGAGCACGTAGCCGGCGCAATTAATGCAAGGCAATTTCATTGGAAGGCAATTTCATTGCAAGGCAATTTCATTGCGATGCAGTGTATCAACGAAATTTAATTGGACCCCCAGGCGAGCAACTTGCCTCGTCATGTCGTCACGAGCACGCAATCGATGCAAGTAAATGCAGTGCAATGCATCAGTGAATGTTAATTGGCCCCCCAAGCGAGCAACTTGCCTTGACATGTTGTCACAAGCACGTAATCAATGCAATTAGATGCATTGCAGTTTACATACAACGCAATTACCAATGCAATTAAATTGGTCCCCCAGGCGAGCACGTCTCCTCCAAGAAAATCGCGTCCAGGATGGCGCGCAGCCTGGCCTACATGCGCGCCTCCGGCGGCGGCCTGACCTGCTCGGGGGGCGAGCCCCTCATGCAGCCCCACTTCGTGGAGGCCCTCTTCCGCGAGGCGCATGCCCTGGGCCTCAACACCGTGCTCGACACCAACGGCCAGGGCTGCCCGGGCGCCCACTGGGACTGCGTGCTGCCGCACACCGACCTGGCGCTGGTGTGTGTGAAGCACCTGGACCCGGACAGGTACAGGGAGCTAGTGGGGGGGACGGCCCAGCCGGCCAGCGTGCTGCACTTCATCGAGGAGCTCAACCGTCGGAACGTGCCGTTCTGGATACGCTACGTGCTGATTCCCGGTGAGCACGCACGCGCGCGCCCAGCCCCCTTCCCCGGACTTCTTGCGCTTCTCGGCACAGACTTGGCTTTTATGTTCATATTTACATTTTTTGCGTTTACGTTTTACGCACGAAAACGTATATGATTTGCGAAGGGGCTATTTTGGGCTATTTTACGATTTCGCGGCTCTTTGTGACAGCGAGGTTGCACGATGAAAGTTGCGTACAATGATCAGTCCTCCGCCATCTTCAGCACCCGCAACTCCGTGCCCACCTCGCCCTCGGCAAGGGCAGCGACGGCATTTCTACCCATTGCAGCGCGTCAGACAGCCACTCCCCGGACTTCCCAACTCTGTATGTACTGTCCTTATGTAAACGAGGCTGCATGTACGCGTTATTTACGTATGTTTACACGTTGTTAGGCGTAATAACGTACGAAACTATTTTTGCACGTAAAAACGTAAATACGTTCATATTTTACAGCACGAAGACCAAGCCTGTCCAGGTTTGTTTCATTGCTACTCTCGCTAGAGTTAGCTCTATTTTTAATGTTTTTTTCCAACTCTGCTGAAATACAGTGTTGGCAGTGATAACGCAGTGACAGCGTTCGCCACGTTCTCCCCGTACTTACGTGCGCACCTTTGGTCAGGTTCCTATCGTTGCTTTTGCTGGAGTTCCGAGTAAATTTTTTGAACTTGCACCGAAATTGATTTTAATAGATTTCACCAATATGGACGCAATTCACGCACCAAGGTGCTGGCCTCTGGCAGGGTCGACGCAGAAAAATTGGGCAGCGCTGGGACACATAACCTGCTCAAGTACTACGTTTCATTTTAAACAGCAATTTTCTCACCCGGTCCTGGTCCTCAAAGCGCCACTGCTTTAATTGAGAAGTGCATACCACGCAATGACAAATGTATAGGACTGTTGTGCGCAAATCGTGAACATACAAGTACGAGGTCTTAAGTATGAACGCATGAATGTGAGTGCTGAAGCTCGAGACTGACAGTAT